GTTTATTATTGTGGATTTGGGGGGATCCAAATAGCAACTTAACCTGTCAAAGGATTAATTAATTCTCTGTGTGTCACTGGGAAGCACTGATAGTAACATGCAACCAGTGAACAGAAAGAATAGTATGAATTCATGGAGAGTATATTGAGCTGCTTAAAACACTTTCTAAAATATCAAGTCCTATGGAAAATTATAACTAATTTATAATTCTGTTTTATTTAAAATAAAGTTACAAAATAGGAATGAGATTTTGTAATGTGAGTAAGCTTCTCCGTGATAAATATTTGGTTTTGGTATAGAGTTCACCACCATAAGGCAAGCGAGACAGAAGAATGTGTCTGAATAGTAATTCAGTGCACCAGTAAGTCTGGAAGCTCTGTTCCTGACTTCTAAAAAAATTGTAGATAGTTGTCAATAAAAATGCGTTATCCATAGTTTGTGTAGGTAAATCGGCACAACTGTAATTTTCAAGAGTCGCATTTAGAACTGGGAATTCAATTTTTGTCCTTTCTCTTAAATTTTTGACTACCTGGGGCAAAAAAATCCAGAAAGTAGAAAACTATAAGCAAGCACAGCACGTTGTTAGATTACAGCAGTAGTGTGGTTACCAGCCTTCCCCTGAGAACCTTGTTTGATTGCAAACAAGATTCTCCCCAGTCCACATATAAAAATGTGTTTTATCTCCTACAAACACAATGTGATGGTTTGAGACGGTGACTGACAGCTTCAGTGCAAAAGGAAGGAGCATCATAACTAAAGCTGGATGCACAGAAGTGACTGAGGAGTTAAAAGAACAGCGGCACAGCTGAATCCATTTAACTGGCAGAGTGGTTTTAATTGGGTTGGTTGCTAGGGAATGGCTCCAGCACCACGTATTCCAGTGAATTTAAACCTTGGACAAATGACACACCTAGGTCTGATTGAATAATACACCTGGCATTGGCTGCAGCCTCACTGAGAGCGGGTCTGTGCTGCTTCTCATGGCCACTTGGCCCCTGCTGCTCAGAGGCACCTGCCCTGCTCTGTGGTCGCTGCTGGGCCAGTTGAACTTGTCATACGAATTGTGTGTGTAATGGTTTGCAGCATGCTTATTTAAAAAAAAAAACAAAACAAAAACACCAAACCAGTTAATGTAAACATACCTAGAAGCAGCTTTCTAGAAGTAGACTCGGAGCAGGATTAAGTTACAGAATTAATTAGTTACGTGTTTGTACCTTTGTTGTTGATAGGAAGAGTCAGATGCTGTTGTGGGTTATGTTGTAATAACTGAGTTACCTGATTTCAGTGCGCTTGCACTGGGCTTGTGCGTGGGACAGTTGTGCTGGGACTTGCATTAGTGAAGTTGGGAGCAGCAATCTGTGCAAGCCACTGTCAGTTGCTGATTTTACACACACAGTGCCTGTTACATCTGTGCCAAGCAATACTAATCAATAGCCTGTTGGAAATACCATCTGGGGTAGAACTGACATCAGTCATCCCTGTGCATTCTGCCTGTGCTGCTGCAGAACTGACAGTAATTACTGAGGGCAGTGTTATAAATAAGTCTTTCCTTGGTGTAAATGCTACTTGGGAACAGCCCTCAGCTAAGTTCTTTTATAAATAGAGTAAATGTACTGAAGTCTGACTTTCTCTCTTCAACATTTATAGTGTGACTTTGTGTGACTCTCTGTGTTGCCACACAGAATTGATAAGAGGACCAGACTTTCTCTAAAGCAGCCTGCTAGGAGGTTCCATAGGCTTAATAAAGCTCAGCTAGATGCCACAGCTAAAGAACGCTTCATAAATTTCTGATAGCACTTTCCTAAATATAAACCAGGAGTGACCAGACTCATCAAGTTCACGTGTGTAATCTTCGGAGAAAATAAGAGGCGTAGCTAATTCTCATGAGAGGCACTACAGATTAAGCATCTTGAATATGGGAGGATGGCCTGCAGAGGCACAGAGAGCAGTGGACCATCTGTACCACTCAGATCAAAATGCATCGTTGGAGAGGTGCTATATTAAAAGTGAAGGCAGATTGGGGCACTGCTGTGGAGCTCTTCTGGCTTTATCTGCGAGTTGCAGATTAAACTTGTTGACAGAAATGGGAAAAGAGCTGCTAATAGAAACTTTGTCATATTTCTTCCCTGAAGTTCACCTAAGACTGGGGGTTAAAAAAATCAATCTGTATTTGACCACTGGCAATCCATGAGAGAGACTCTTGTGTTGCTATTCTGAGAGCCATCTAAAAGCTGGCTTTTAGATTGTACTGCATATATGCTGTTAGTTGTGGCATGTCTGTCTTTTATGAAAACATACTTTAAGAAATAGGTTATTTTCTAAAATTGCTTTAATTTTCTTACCTAGTTATTGCTATGACTTTTGCACATAATTACATACTTTGAATTGGTTTCCAGCAGTACTTACCCTGATAATAATAGGAACGTAACACATCAGAATTGCTGAAAAATATTCACCAGGGTTGGAGGGGGGAGTGGGCAAGAAAAAGATAACAAGGTTTGGAGGAAGATGCCTGTTGTACTTGACATGAAATTCTCTCTTCCACCTGCAGTAACCTTTCAGAGATATCTAATTAACCAGAAATATACAAGTGTGGATCAAATAGCTGTGGAATAGCAGTTTATGTTCATCCCCAAACGTGTTAAGTATTTCATAGATAGCTAAGCAGCTCTCTGAGATGGGACAGCTTCTATTTTTAGTTACAGTGGAGTGAGCGAGGGGCAATAAACTGTGAGGAAAGGATAGGCTGAGAGGGGAGAGACAGTGAGGTCATGAGGTTACTTTGTGTGTTTGGTTAAAAGAAGTGAGAAAAATGCAAGAAGGTTAAATGCACAACGCTGCAGTGAAGGTGGTTATGAGCAGGTATAACAAAAACGGGCAGCTTTCCAAATGCTGCAAGAAAAACCAGTAAATGCTGTTATTTTGAGAAGCTATTGGCTAGTATATACAGATAAAACCCCACATTAACTTTCAGACCTGCAGAAAAATGCGTGTAATGAAAACATCTATATTGTCAATTATTTTTTTTTTTTTTTTTAACAAAAGTGTGTCTGTAGTAATTTCTGAAGAGCAGAAGCCATTCCTCTACCTCCTCCCCCAAAAAGCTGATGTCCAGGAATATGTGCCTGCTAAACAAGCTTGCTTTCTGTCCTCCCCTTTTGAACCAGATCCAGGTTTGTCTCTCAAGCTGCTTTTGACTACTCTGAACAGTAGCAACACATTGACATGACTCTTCCCGGTTGTGCTGCTGCAGATGGAATTCTGAGTGCAAGAAGTGAAAATTGATTGGACTTGTCAGTGTTTCTTCTGCAATAGCCTGGCAAATCTCTGGGCAGCAGCAGAAATACTGAAGCTGTAGCTGTAAACTTGTAAAAGTTCCTTCCCTCCCCATTGGAACAAGAGCTGGAATATTCCAAATAATTTTTAGTTTCTATGAAAAAAGGTTAATTTCACCTGCCTGTGAAAGTTACTGGACAGCCTAGTAAGGAAGGAGGATTTTTCATTTCCTTAAAAACCCACTAGTGTACAGTTTTGAAAAGCAGCCTTAATAAATATTCCAGCATTTCTTATATAAGCATAGAAACTTTTTCAGATCAGCAGTTTTGCTGTTGAATGAGAACTTTCTTAATCAAAGTTTATCTCAAAGAACAGTTGCTGATGCAGATGAAGTAATAATAATATGGCTATGAAATAATCTGCTGGAATAAAAACTGTTTTCCCAAGTGGCTCTAGGGACAGAAGAGCCAACATTTTTCTTTGGGTAAAACACATTGTGCTGTATTCTTTGTACTCAGGCATTTCTGGTCTTTACAAAAAGCAAATTATCTTTCTTGTGTCAATTTTAATTGATTTTTCACTTCTCTTACAAGAGATCGTAGGCACCAGTCCAGGAAAAGCCAAGGAGCAAGGAGGGAATTCATCAAAAACTGAATCCTTGACTTCTGGATGTGATGAAATAATTAGTACTTGATATTTTCAGTACATTTTCATACTGTTATTTTGATTTCTGAAAGCAAGAGAAAATCCCTTTATACCAGGAGATCACTAAGCAAAACTGTGATTTTAAAAATTCTTCAGCTTGCTTATTCGTTTCTTGTAATCTCCTTGTAGGAATTGCTAAGAATTGTTTATTGACTTGTTAACAGGAGCAATACCACTTAAATGTGCTCTGTTTTGCAATCAAGTCCATTTTGGAGCATTATATTTATTGTGAAGAGAAGTCATAGGCAATGCAAATCACGTGGGTGCATCCATTTCCAAACAGTAACAGGCCTTCAAATGTGTTCATTAATAATAATGGTATTAAAAAAATATATATATATATATATATATATATATATAATCTTGGAAACCAACAGAAATGCTGAAGGGATATTGCAGTAACATCAAAGCTGTAGTAGACTTCAAACAGCATCACACCATAGTTCCAAGATCTGGGCAGCTCTGCTCTCTAATGAAATGTGTGAGATAAATCAGTGTATAACGAGTCTTGCATCTCAGGGTTCTCTGATTTTGCCAGTGTGTTGTTAACTCAGTAAATTTTACTGCAGTAATGTTTAAAAATATTGATACGGTTTTTTTTTCCTCTTCAACATCTGTATTTTTGATGGAGTAAACAAAAATGTCATTTGAAACCATCCCTTAAGGAAGAAGGTTGCTCTTTGTATATGTCAAAGCAAGAGAATTTAATACCCTGTGAAAACTTGCTACTTGATCTGACCTTAGAGTGAAACTTGGTTGCCTACACTGGTAACAACTTATGAACTGATTTTTTTTCAAGTTTCTGCTTCTAACTGGCACTAGAAAACATTTGTTTGCTTTGTTGTTGTTTGTGGGTTTGTTTGTTTGGTTTTTTTTTGTTTGTTTGTTTTGTTTTTCTTTAGGAGTTAGATTATTTCAAATATACTGCTTTTATTTCTTTGGAGAGAGCCTTGCTGTTCCTTTGGAGGGAGCAGAGGGGTCAAAGTATAGATAAATACTTGTTTCCCTCTCCCTTATAGGAGACCTGCAAACAAAAAAGAAATAGAAGCCATTAACCTACCTTGTTCAGAGAGAACATTAACTCAGCACAACATGGCCCAGCATAGTGTTGCCCTTGGATTATTCATGATGACTGTTTTATCACTGTTGGATGGAAGTTCAGCTTTCCTGTTAAATCAGCGTCTGAAGGGAAGATTTCAAAGAGACCGTAGAAACATCCGCCCGAACATCATCCTTGTTCTTACTGATGATCAGGATGTAGAACTTGGTAAGAGCCCAGAAAATTTCAGCTGACAAGTGTGGCACTGCTTTTCCTTGGAGCTGGATTCTCGTGGTCAAAATGAGAATTAATTCATTTTTTTTTTCCAGTGTGAAAAATGATAGGAAGCACAAGTTTAAACATGCCTTTATGTAGAACATACTTTTTGTCTGGATGCAATTCAAGGACAGCAAAAGCTAGTCTGAAAATGCTAAACTTCATGGTTTTTGGAAATACAAGGTTCCTGCCTATCTGTCTTCATCTAAACACCTAAACTCTGCTGCTGGCAATGGCAAGTATAGTCTGGGAAGCTGCATGCCAAGGCAGGAGCTTTAAATTCATAACTGATTATTGTATCATGTAATGACCCAGGGTTTTTTGTGTAATTGCAGACATTCATTACATGTACAATCTTAATTTACTTTAATGCTACCTAACACAGTCATACTGTTCTTGTTGTCCATTTAGACGTGTAGTTAATTACTGACCAAAGTGTCAAAGAATGAAAAAGTTCTACTGTGTTACTCAACACTATTAATTGTTGAAGAAAGGAGATGAAGACTAAACACGTGCTCTGCCTAATGATTTGGAATAATGAATTAACTGACAGAGTTTGGGGTTTGTTCTGTTACCTGAACAAGCTTGTGTTTACCAAATGTTGTCTATAGTTATAAGAAGTGATTGACACAAACCAGTTTACATTAATGATTTTGCATTAGAATTGTGCCTTTAAGTGTGTACAAAGCCTGGATCCTCTGAAAAGTGAGAACTCATGTATGTGTGGTCTGCTGAGGGTTTTTTGACCCCAAATTTTTCTGCATCAGATTTCTGGTATGGGTAGGAAAAACTGGAAAACGGAGCTCACAGGGGAAACAGAAAAATAAAATTAATCACCTTGTGCTACTCATACACTTACTTGTCTTGCTGACAAGTTGATCACGGCAGCATGGCAGTATTTTTACAGATGCTTCCTTTGCACCAATATTGCTGTATGTCTGTGGTATCATAGGTGTCACATTCTTCTCCAGAGTGATGAGAAAACCTCACCAAATATCAGTGCAATTCCAGTCAGTAGGATCAGAAGAGGCTTTTGTTGTTGTCACTCTTTTTTCATGGTTATTTGGATCACAAATGAAGCAACTCCAATAGCGTATCACAGAACCCAAGTACATTATCTTGCAGGCTCAGAAGGTGGTCCTAAAAAATTTATCATCTTCTGTTTTAGGTGTGTTTCTGGTGCAGTTGGCCAAGCCCATTGGGCAGTTTTATTTCTCTTCTCCGATGATCGGATGCTTTCCAATTTCAAGGATAATGGGCACGTGTCCACACAAATTAGGATCTCACCAAGGAAAATCCATTTGATGAAGCTGGGATGTGATATTCCTCGTTTGCCACTAATGGCTTTGGGAGACCCAACATTTGTTTGGATTAATTTTTATTCTTGTCTGTTGTCTGGTGAGCTGTCCAAGTTAATCAGAATTGCCATTTGTGGCGATTGTGGTTAGTGCATTTATGGAAGATGAAGACAAGATACGAATTACAAGTAAAAGCTAAGGAGAAGTTGGAAGCTATGAAAGGGTAGCAGAGAAAGCTGTGAATAACTAAAATTTCATCTGTTTGTAAGGATATTCTCTAAGTGATGGGTGTTGTAGCTTCCACTGTTCTTTTGTAGCTACTTTTCAGGTGAGAGGGACTACAACATGATCTCAAGTGCCTTTAACAAGCTTTCCTTTATTTATTTAAAGATAGATTTAACAGGTTACCAGTAGCAGGTGGAGTTTAACAGAAAGAGAATGTTGTCCTTTCAGGAAAGGAGTGCAACTCTTTACATTCTCATTACTGTTCATCGTGAGTTTTACTTGGGAAACCAAACCTCAGCATTGTATTGGGAAAAGGAAAAGACCGATGAGGAGCTGATGAATAAGGATGCAGAATCTGTAGATTAAAGAATGAGTGTAAATTGTAATAGATACAATTGGGAGAAGACAAATGAGAACACCCAGAACTACTAAAACATACACACTTGGTGGACTGTCTAATCAAAAGAGTTGTATTGACAAGCATAATATAAAGAAGAGGAATATACTGCCAAGGAGGAAGAATTAATTGGAAATAAAGACTTCCTTTATCACTATTAGAATCCAGGTTAGTATGATGCTGATGTCCCCTGTGTGATGGACTCAGCAACTCTAGTTTAATTAGGTTTGTCTGCCATATTGCTGTGGTTTTAAAAAAACATCTCATTTCATGATTTTGTAGTTGAAGAAAGATCTTGGTATTTAGAAGGTATTTCAGCCACAGTAGAGAAATCTGAGTGAGAGGTGATTTGTGTGTTCCTAGGTCTTCCTTTGGAAACTATAAAAGTGGCTTGGAAAATAATTTTTCTTGGTTATCCTACGTGGCAGTTGGGACTTGGAAGTTTTCTTAAATATGAGGAAAAAAGGAAGTGATGTGAAAACTGTCTAATGAGGTTCAAAGAGGATAGAAAGAGAAGGCTTTAGGGGACAGTTAATTAACATTCTGGGGTTCAGTTAGCTTATCTGTGTGTTGATACCACTTCATAAGTTGTGCTTCAGAGTAGACAAGTCACTTGGTACTTAATGCAAGTTCCTCAACAGTTGGAACTCCCTAAAACATTTAAATTATTTCCTCTGACAACAAAACACAACTAATAAGGACTCCAGTATTATTTAATAAATAATTGGTATATTTTCTCAATTATATATAGTTGGTTAATATTAGTCAAAATATCAGCATTATCCCCTTCACAGTGAACTGTGAAGATACACTAAGCAAAGTTATGGCTAACACACAGATTTCAAGTGGAATTTTAACATAGATTTTGCTTAGCTTTGTTCAGTGAGCAGCTTTAATGCATCAAAATGATTAAACTTTCATATTTTCACAGTAGTCTGACGGGGGTTTTTTTTAAGTAGCTTAGAAGTTTCACTTTTAACTGCCAAATTTTTGTTTACTATCAGTGGGTTTAGATGGGTAACAGAACATTTTCTGAATTAAATATTGACACTTCAAACCACTACTTCCCATGGTACATCCACTAATGAAAGCTGAGAAGGCTTTCCAGCCCAAAAGGTGATGTGGTGAGGTTCCTGTTGCTGATTAACACATAACTAATCTGCCACAGAAAGAGCAGTTTTTACTTTTTCTCACAATTTCATGTTTGTATCAGAGGCAGGTTGAAGAAAATAAATTTTGGCTGGCTGGTTTAATGCTGTTTAAAATATTTAAAGCTGGCCTATTTAAGATTATACAGAAGAGTATGCTGGATTTTTACCTTCCACTGATCTGTCACTCTGTATTAGTTCTCAAGCAGGGGAGGCAGATTAGATCATATGTTTTTGTGCTAAAGACTGTTGATATATAGGGCTTTGTCATTACAGCAGTTTTATTAAAGGAGGTTACTGTCCCCAAGGGGAGTCTTAACATGTACTGTTATTTATGCACAGATGCCTCTGTCTTTTAAAAAGGTTGTTAAATTGTATTTTAGTATTGGCAAGACAAACCCTTCTTTTGGACTGCCTGTTTATGCTTGGGCTGTATCTCAGAAGACAACACCGAGGAAACATCCCCAGTTTTCAGGCTCAAAGAGTGCATAATTGGCTGTCGTAATTGTTAACTGTGTTGTTAGTACCTTTAAGCACTAACATCCCACAGCTAGGGAAACAAAAATAATAAATAAATCTGGCTTTCCTTTTTTTCTTTTTTTTAAAATTCATTCCAACAGAATGGTCTCAAGTAAACTAATACCATGGCAGTTTTTAGGTAAAATGACCCTCAGTAGCAATTAGCCTTCCTTCATGGTGCCAGAGAGTCGGATTTCCTATGTGGCTTGTGGCCATTTTCCCTCTAGGTTTTGACTCCTGGTTATATCAATGTGCCCTGTATCAATCGACTTACTGTTGCCATTTCATAATGAAATCCCTGCCTAAAGAGCTTAGAAGAAACCTAAACCCAGTATTGACAGGAGCAACATAGTTTGTGCCAGATGGTTGCAGGATGCATTGATTAAAGCTGAACTGTTAATCCAGCTCAACCTTGGGTAAGTTCCCCCCAACCCTACTCAAGCATGAAACCACACCTTTATCTCAGTCTTGTCTGTTGGCTTTCCCTGGAAGGGAGGATTGGTGATGGACAGGTTTCCTCTCCTTTGCAAGGTTGTGCTGATGGCAGGTACCATTACAAATTCTTTGGCAAATGGAAATTCTTCCTAGGTTGGGAAAAATTTTCCTGACTTGTTCTGATGCAGTTTTAACTATCAGGCACTGATAGAGATGAGAAATTAAATTCCTTTTTTCTCTGATCTTTGGTTTTTCTGGATTTAGGAAGAGCTCTGATATGGATCCAGATTCAGCTAGGTGGTGTAAAGATCCAGTCTTTGACCAAAGCCTGTCTTAAATAAACAGAACAACCATTTGGCAGCAGCGTGTCTTTCAGTAATTGTTGGCAAAAAGACTTTTACCCCTCTTATCCCACTTTATCCAAGTCCCTGCCAGTTAAACTTGCTTGCTTGTTTTTAGATGATGATTGTGAAATACATGGCTGCCTGTCCCAAGCAGTCATCTGAAGATCTGATTCTGCAGAACCAAGCCTAAGAAAACGTAGATAGGTTTAGGTAATACTGTTATCAGAAAGGGTGAAGCAGATGGATAGAACACAGTGGGCTGGTTGTGGAAATTATTCTGTGGGCTTTATGTTGTCTCTGATTCAGTGGCAAGGACAGAAATCAATATCTGCTAATACCTCATGATAGGGAGAGAACAATTTATTTAGAGAACAACTCCAGCAGCCCCTGCTCGAGCAGTAGGTTGGACTAAATAGTCTTCCAGCCTCAATGATTGTGGTTTCAGCCCTCAGGCTTTCGCAGGTTGTCACACAAGGCAGTGCATCAGGTTTATTTCAAAACCAAGGATTAAATGGGGAGCATGCAAGTTGTGGTCAGGATTGCTGCACAAAGTGCATTTCTCCCTCAGCTATTGGAACAGTACTGGTGGCTCCAGAAGGGCTGCAGAGAAGGTGCAGAAAGTTACAGCAGTAAATCTGGAACTTAGAGAGAAATGAAAGAAGCATTATGGTCCATGTCAGCAGGCTTGAGCCATATCTTAACTTAGGACTGCAGCATTTAGTCCTTGCTGGAGCAATGGGAGAACTCCCCTGAGGCAGCAGAATAATCTCTTTGGATTTGGATTCGTCCGAGATTACAGTGCCCTTACTGTTACCTGCGCTTCGTTCTGGCCTTTGCCGTGACGTGACGTGAGCTCTCATGGGGCTCTTGTGACCCAAACAAGGAAATAATTCCTGACCGTTTCTCTTCTTCCAGGTTCTATGCAAGTGATGAACAAAACCAGACGGATCATGGAGCAGGGGGGCGCCCATTTCATCAACGCCTTCGTGACGACGCCCATGTGCTGCCCGTCGCGCTCCTCCGTTCTGACGGGCAAGTACGTCCACAACCACAACACCTACACCAACAACGAGAACTGCTCCTCTCCCTCCTGGCAGGCTCAGCACGAAATCCGCACCTTCGCCGTGTACCTCAACAACACGGGCTACAGGACAGGTAAGCTCAGGGCTGGCTCCACCTGACCGGCACGGGGGCTCCTACGGGGAGGATTTTCATTTATCTTTATAATGGACTGCAGCAGTGCATAACACCAGAGCTTCAGTCTTGTGTGCTGGGTTAGCTTCCTTGCACCTTCACTGGAGGAAATGGTTACTTACAAACAAACCACGAAGGTGCCAAGACTTTTTTAAGAAGGTGGGACTAAGACAAGGTGCACGCTACAGCTGAAGACACGGCACGTGTAGAATATGCCCTGCAATTGCCTGAAGTGCACAGAATGACCGAGAAAGAGGCTATGAAAAGGAATCAGTGTTTTGATTATTCCTCCCCCTCCCCATAAAATGGATATAATAAGCAAATTAAGAATGGAAGAGAAGGGACTGCTCCTTCTGTGCTTTGGGGCAGTCAGCTGGTTTGGTTTCTCTAGACAGTCAATTCCCAGAAAGATGTTTGGGATAAATAACAACTGAGGGAAGATCAAGTGTACTCCTGAGAAAGAAATTATCTTCTTTGTATGCAGTGCTCCTTAGGAACAAATATCCTGTAGAAGGGATTTCAGAAAACATGTAGCATGCGTTTCACACCTGATTCCTTCTTCCTTCCCTGGATTTAGGTTCTTACCTGTGACAGTGGTTTTGTTACTTTTCTTTCTGATGCCTTTTGTCATGATGAGAAATAAGCATAAACCTGCTTCTAGTTGTGTTATTAATGGTGTATATGTACTGTAGTATTTTATTATGGTTGTTAATTGTAGTATTGTGTTGTAGTTGTTATTAGTAGTACACAATTTTTTCTTGAATTTATAGTATTTGAGGCTTCCAGAAACTAATATAAATCTTGAATAATGACTGATTGCAACAAAACCAAATTAAATTTGGTTATTTATTACAAAAATTATTTCCTTTGTAACTATTCACATGAGTTTTACATGTTATTGCTTTAAAGTCTTGGTCTTAAAACAAATAGGTAATTTCCTTGTTTTGTTTTTCTAAAATGAAGACCTGAATTCATCTGGAAAGAGATAAATGAGGGGAAGGGCAACTACCTTATTAATTGGTTGCTGTTTCCCTCCCATTTGTCATTGCTGGAGCTAATACCAGTGATCATATGAGTACCACACCAAGGTTAATGTTTTATTCTTCGTAGATTATTTGATTTGTGTTTACTCATGTTTTCCTGTTGTAATAATTTTTATATTCAGTGACTGTACTAAATTAATGTAGTTAAATGTGACATATTATTATACAAATTTAAATGGAAATGGCCATCATTGGAGGCTGGTGTTCATTTCTGTCCCCCAGTAAAAGTCTCGAGTTACCCACTTTGAAGCGTGCCAGCAGTAAGAAAGTATTTTTTGACTTTTTTTTCTTTTCTTTCCCCTTCCCCCCAATGATCTGATCAGATCTACCTGCTTCAGAAACAGCAGGAGATTGCACTTGAGAACCTTGTCTGCTCAGTTTCTCAAGTTTCAAAAGTAACCTGCTAAGGAGAATATTTTAAAGGTTATGAATGCAGTTTCTCTGAAATGGGGAGTCTTCCTTGAACATGACTACAGTGAACCAAGGAGGATGTGGAAAGCTCTGGAGTTCATTTGTAGGCTTGTTTATTTTTTTGTTTGTTTTTGAGGTCTGTGCTAGTACTGGTTTGCCCTGCAAACGTACAGTTTAGCTTCCTAATCCCTTGGGTTTTTGGTTTTGTGTGTTTGCTTTAGTTTTTTGTGTTTGTTGGGGTTTTTTGTGTGTTTGTTCTTGTGTGTGTTTTGTTGTTGTTTGTTGGTTGGTTTTTTGAAGGAGTGGAAAAAGACTCCAGGAGGAATAAAGCCTTTTGAGGCTGGCTTTTATATTTTAGGTTCACAGCCTCGGAATGAGAAAGCTATTATTTTGGAAGGGAGTTTGGTTTTTTTTTTCTTAATTCATAAGCCAGGCCTTCTCCCTGTGCTTTTTCTCTTCCCTTTTCTCTTTTGTTTAATCTTGAAGGAAGAAATTCTTCTCTTCTACTCCACTTGAGCTTCCCTCTCATTTTCTTTCCTGCTGCTGGTTTCACATCTCCCTGCCCTCTTCTGTGTTCATTGTGACCTCCCTGTGTCTGATGTTCTCTGGGATAGTGGCATTTGTGGCTGGGATCTCTACACACTCGTGCTGCTGCTGACACCTTTGGGATGTGCCAGTCCCACGAGGGAGCAGTGTGGTGGTGCTGCAGGTTTCTCTTGCATAAGTTGCAAGTGAAAAATAGGAGAGGAGATGGAAAAGGTGCATCTTTCCCGTAATTGTTACTCAGTTTCAGCCTTGATTGTCAGTTTTATATTTTTGACACTTTAAAAAGTTTGACCAACTTTCTTAGGCACTGTGCTTGAAAGGATAGAGAGGCTGAGCTCAACCAAAGTTCAGTCTTTGGCTGTAACAGGATTTTGCCCAACATGCACATGTGACAACAGACAGGCTTGCTGTCACTTGATGTGGATCAATTAAATATCCTGGCAGAGCAAGGGGGGAAATGTCCCTCTTCAGTGGAAGCCACTGAGGCAGTAGGTGTTACAGGCAGGTTTCTTCTCCATTAACCTGTCTCTCAGTTTAAAATCTGCCAGTGTCATGAATAGCACCAGCTGTTCCTGTTGTGTAGCCCCTACACGCTCCCTCAGCACCAGATCCCAATCTCAGTGTATTGTCTTATTGCACAATGTGGGGAAATTAGGCAAGAAGGACAGTTTAGGTAAATAAACCAGTTCAGCTGATGAATTGATCTTTAGAAAAACCACTGCAAGCAACATCTAAATCATTCCTGACTTAAAACAGTGGAAGCTGGCACTGCAGCTTGGAGCAGGGCATGGTAAGAATGGAAAAGAAACAAAGAGATACTGTGGCAAACACTTCTGAATGTCAGTTCTCTGCCAAAGGTTCCTGTGTAAACATCTATCAAGAAAAGGATCTGTTCTCTGTCAACATGCACATCTCTATTCCTGAGACAGCTTTTAAAATGCACAATGCGTTGTTGCATGCTTTGGGCCTGCAGCAGCAAATACCGGGATGTTATATTGGAATACAGACTTAAACTTTCCCTTAGACATTACTTAATGAGAAAAGCTTCTCTTTTCCACTTGTCTGGCTGGCTGAATGCTTAAGTCTTGAAATTGGTGACTGATTCCAGAATATTTTGTCAGCTTTATCTGCAGCCAGGAAATGAAAAGACATGTTTATCTTATTAAATTCAACAGAACTAGGGGTGGTGGGTCAAATGCAGCCTGGCAGAAGGACACTTTTGCTTCAATGATTCTTCTGGGAGAGTTCTGTTAATTTATGTTAGGGCTTAATGTGGCTCAGTATGCAGCAAATGCAGTCCACATTTTGGCTAACTCCCCCTCCTTGCTCCTTTGGAGTAGTACCCTATAGTACAGCCAACCCTATTCACTCAAATGGACCTGTTAGCAAAGGGAAAAGCTGCTGCTTTTATGGTGATGTGTCCTCATCTCATGGGGGTGAGTCCATACCTGAATTACACAAAGAATTAATAAATGCCATTTTGCACCAGTTTTGTATTTTGAACCTAGAGCAGAGTCATCGTGGGAGGTCCATCTGTGCCATCATAAAATATTTATTGGGAATAAAAGTAATAATAATTCTTAGCACTTTCATGGGGCTTTACAATAATTAACTAATGAATGAATTAAAATTCAGTGGCAGTTTTCCATTTCCGTCCATTAATATTAAACTAAGAAGATACAGTGCCCGACTGCATTCATGTAATTATTTTGCACTTCACTGTCTGAGCCTTTGACATTTTGAAATGATTTTAACAAATTGTACAAAAGAGGAGAAAGGCTGCTGGTAAATATTTTCGGGTCCACTCCTCTCCTTTTAATAAACATGTGACCAGTTTTTAGTATCTAGATACAGTCCAGGAGTCAAATTCTTAGGTTCCCTGTCCCATGCTGTAGATTTTGCTCTCCTCAACAGTTGCTGCTTGATATTTTTTATTACAGAAATACTTACAAACTTAACTGAAGTTGATCTCTATGTATAATAGCTTGGTAGGGAATAACTGGTGACCTAAAGAGTCAAAGGGTAGACAGAAGCAGAGACACGATAGTGAAGTACTTTCTACAAGATTGTGTGCAGGTGAAAAGCAACATGAAGAAGACACGCAGGTTTTCATCCACACTCCGGTGCCCTGTCCACTGTGCTGTGCTGCACTTCTCTGTCATCTTATGTGCACAAAAAGAAAACATTATCCAAATCAGAGTAACACCCTATGTGCAGGAAGGTAGCTTTTGCAGTTGATGGAGGCCTGAAGGCCATGGTTAAAAATAATAACCAAGTGATTTAAAAGTTAGACTTAGTTTTTAGAAGTGATTTGCTTGACTAGGAACTGAAGCGCTGTGATATTTGCCTCCAAGACATCAAAGTGACTTTTCAAAACTGGGTAGCAGGTTTCTGAATTATTTATCTTGAAGGTAGATTAGTTTCCGTAGATCTTTTGCTCTCTACACAGAAATACTCACAGAATGTGCTGAGTTGGAAGGGACCCACAAGGATCATCGAGTCCAACTCCTGGCCCTGCACAGGCTCATCCCCAGGAGTCACACCCTGTGCCTGAGAGTGTCATCCAAACCCTCCTGGAGCTCTGGCAGCCTTGGGGCTGTGCCCACTGTCCTGGGGAACCTGTTCAGTGCCAACCACCCTCTGGGGGAACAACCCAACCTAAACCTCCCCTGGCACAACTTCAGGCCATTCCCCCTGGTCCTGTCACTGGTCCCCATGGAGGAGAGATCAGTGCCTGCCCCTCCTCTTCCCCTGGCAAGGAAGTTGTAGGCTGAGATGAGTTATTGCCTTAGCAAGGTCTGTCAGATTATATCCATTAGATGCTTTGAGACCATCAGACTTGAAAATGGTGTAAAAGAAAGATTCAGCAGAGTGGCTGCATCATGACAGCTGATATTGCAAAAGGAAACCAAGGATCTTTGAGGAGTGCTGATGGAAAGCCCAAATCCACTGTCTTGGTCT